CAGGCAGGAGTGGAAAGTGATTGCCAGCGAGCACAAAGGAACTTTCTGAGGTGACAAATGTTTTAAAACTAGATTATAATGACATCTGCACAATTCTGTAAAAATCATGGAACTATGTACATTTATAGTGGGTGGGTTTTATTATATGTAAATAACATCTTAAAGCCAGTAAGAAACAGTCTGGGTTTAGATGAGTGAAAAGATTTGAAATGGACTTCTCCCTGTGTGGTCCTTCTAGGTGCGTATGGTGAGACATATCCTGCCTTTGAAGAGGACGCCCTCCTTCCACCCCCACAGCTGCCCTCTGCAAGGGAGCGCAGGAGGAGCAAATGGAAAGGACTGGCCTCTGTATGTATGAAATGCACTTTTCTTTTTTCCGTTTAGGAGGTCTGGGTTCTGGCCCATCCTAAATTGGCGTGGTCCAATAAATAAAGGTACTTGCTCTGTAATATGGACATGGATCTGAATCTAGGCTCTACCACCAAATAACTGGATGACCTTGAGCAAGTCATTGAACTCATTGCCTTGGCTTCTTTGAAGTAATATTTTCCTATCTCCTAGGGTGGCTATAAGTATAAGCCTGGTACTTGGCACAGGATCTCTGCCCTATAAATAATTCCTTACCCTAGTTTCCTTCCTTCCACCTGTAGAATATATGGAATTCTGAGAAGGCACAGGAGGCAAGTGATACCATTTATTGGAAAGCCTGTTATATAGATAACATGCCAAGGTCACACAAAACATGCAGACGACCTGACCAAATGACAGATGCTGTTACTAGATCATATGTGTGCACAGCTTTACCACGTGGCAAGACTTGTTTTCCTGTCAACCACTAATCTACTTTCTGTATACAGTTTTGCCTTTTCTGGACACACAAATGAAAACATACAATATATGATCATTTGTGACTGGCTTTTTTAAGTTATAGCTTGTCAGGACTTAATTCCTTCTATTGAATAATATTTCATTTATGGATAGTCTACATTTTTTAATCAACACCTGATAGACATTTAGGTTGTTTCCACTTTTGTCTCTGAACATGTTTCATATTAATGATCATTTCTGAAGTTCTGTTTTCTCACTACAGGATAACGGTCTTCCTAATGTACCGCCAGATGATCTCTCTTTAAAATCTGTATCGAGTATAAATATTGATCAGATTAGAATGAGAAATGAAGAACGAATGCGAAGATTGAATGAACTCCAGAATAAACCTATTAATACAGGTAAGTGGCCAGTTTTAATGGCTTATAGCAGATCCTGTAAGGAGTCTAACAGGCTTACATGGCAGCTTTCCCTTATGGCTGGGGACTGAGGGAATGGGTTTGAAATCAAGGGGCCTCTATCACATCCTGCAAAACCGGACTCGGGATTAATTTTGCATCAGATTAGGGGGACCCTTTTCTGAGTGGGCTCTAAACAAAGCTTGTGCTTATAAAGATGCGAGGCTTTGCTTTCAGCAGGGAAAATGCTTCCTTACTGAAGTGAGAGAATATCAGAAATTAACTTAAAACATTCAGTTTTTTAGATTACACATACATTATAAATTGGTAGTATTACAAAGAAAAGGATTTTACCTTTTAACTTGGCTTTCAGTATTTTGGACACAAAGTAGCCTCGTTAATTATTTCCTTTTGACCCATCAAAGCTTAGTCTTCTCATTATGTTGGGCTTTGGTGCCAGGCAGGCAGGACAGACAGTTCTTAGGCAACTGGCGCGCTCCGCTGCCAGCTTGGACGCCTTTTCAACGCTGATGTTAGTCATTAGGATAATGGGACGATTTTATAGCACACAAGACCTGCTGAATTATTAGCTTTAGCAGATAGTGATCTATTTGGACAATAATTGTCTTATAGCAATTTTCTTAATGTGTTAAGCGCCATGTCAGTCACCGGTGACTGACACTATACTTCCTGTCGTGGACTCAATGGAAAGGAAGACAAAACAGGCTTGGCACTTAACATTGTTAAGATATTTTTAGATCTTACCTTTAATACTGTGTTAATTTAAAACTACTCATACACTCTGTCTAGCAGTCAGGGTGTCATGTGTTCTGACAGTAACTCCGTAACAAATACCAGCAAACATGGCAAACTGATGGAGTATTCATATCATACCTGGAAAAACATGGAACAGTGGGAAAGCAATGCTTTCTTTTTAGCTAAAAAGCATTTTCTTTTAATTGTATTGTGAGTTTCTTGTGCCTCAATTTCTTTTAGAAGCAATAAGTTGAATATTTAACAAGGATATTTTTAAATTGAGAAGACAGCATTTTAAGAATTTACTCTTTACAAAGGTATTCCACTGCTAAACTTTTAACATTGTCCTTTCAAACAGGAGCTTTTTGGTACGATGTGGATTAAATTGCACAGGTCCCTTTGCTGGGCTACTCCTTCACTGACCAGGAGATGTAATTTAAAAAAAAAAAAAGAAATTGACATCACAGGGTAGGAAGACAGATTTTCCTGTTATTATATTTGTAAGTAAAATGTAGATGTGGAAGTTGAGTCCTATCAATGCAATTAAAGAACGAAACAAATTAAGAGCTCTCTCTCAGTGGAGTGGAAGTCATTTCAATCCCATCTAGTGCTTTCCTGAAATGACTTAACTTCCTAAACCTTGTTAAATAAAAACGTTAGTTGAAGGTGACACAAAGTAAGATGGCCCACACTCCTATGGCCAAATTAATGTGGCTGCGGCCTCTGCTGCTGACATGGGATTGTGCTGGTACCATGGAGTCACTTTCAGTTGCATTTCCTGTTTCATAAAATTGGGTCCCTCCCTGGGTTTGCTTTCCTACCTCTAAAGTGAGGGGTATCTGGACAAAACTATAAGCTTAGAACCTAACATTGTGGAGAAATGCAGAGCTGTATGCACCCACCTGAATAACGTTTCTCTTGCTTCCTCTAGATGACGAGAGTTCACTCATTGACCCTGATGACTTCATGAAGCATGTGGGTGACGATGGATCAAACTCTGTAGCAACTGAACCCTGGCTCCGCCCGGGCACCTCAGAAACGCTGAAGCAGTTCATGGCAGAACAACTGGACCAAGAGCACCAGCAGGTTCCTGGAAAACCAGGCACTTTCACTTGGCAGGGCCTGTCTACTGCACATGGTTAAAATAAACCTGTGTTGGACCCAGCAGTGCCTTCTAAGGTAAAAGGGATGTTAACTCTGAACCTTTAATAATATGTGCTACTTTGACCCCTACCTGGAAGTTATGTTATCTGTGTATAAGGTAATGTATATAATGTATATTATGTACAGAAATAAAAGGCCATGATTAATTTATATATAATGTAGAGTTATATAGAATTATTTTTGCCCTAAGTCAGGGTGGTAATGAACTCAACTACCATATGTGCATTATTGTAAAGTAGAATGAATAAAACAAGTGTATTAACAATGTACATATAACTTGTTATATGTGCACTTGTTACTGAAATAATTCATTAGTAAATACATTAGCTGTAGCTGTCACTATTCCAGTTGCTACGTAATGACAGAATCAGATTTCCATGTTGTTTATAGCTACTGATTCAGTATAAATGGTGGGAGTCATAATTGATTTTATTCCCGAGCTATGCACTAAATGTTACATCCTTCTGCCTCTATTTTTGTGCCAATTAAGGGATTAAGTTTACTGATTTAACTACTTCTTGATAGAAATAAATTATTTTTATTACCAATGTCCATTTCTTAACTGGAATTGAGGTTTCCAGACACGGTGTTCTAGAAGGTGGAGAGAGGCAGGAGCACCCTGGATTAAAGATGGACTGGAATCCTCGCTGTGCCACTATGGACCCTGAATAAGTGACTCAGTCTTTCTAATCACTTCATGAGAGGTACCTTTAAAAAAGATTTAAATTCTGAGAAACAGTGATTTAGCGTCTTTACCACACAGCAGAGAACAGTGCGGTCACTGCTGCTTCACACTTCCTTCCACTGACACAATTAATGGCAGGCAAGATCAGATACGTTTACCTCATCTGAAAGTTAGATGAAGGCCTCTGTCTCCTCTAGGGAGAAGCTTGATACTTTACACCATGAAATAATAAACTGCCAGGTTACTCGAAACACTTACCTGTCAAACAGGCAGAAGGTCATGGTGGCTCCCAGCTGCAGTGTCCAGCTCAGCTGGAACAGGGCTCCATCTTAGGAGTAATACATATTGCTGACTTACAAACACATAGTTCAGTGACTACTCGCTGTCTAAGAGAGGTGTGAGAGCATAGGTTGAACACTTACCTGTTTTTTAGCACCACCTTAGAAATAAATGATCTTGACACATTACATTTTTCTTGATAATGCACCGCTGTACCACACAACTGCCCCGACAGAAACTTTACTGCGTCTTTTCACTAAAATAGTGTAGCATTATTCTGGGTAATCAATAAATATACAAAATATTAAATTATTAATATCCTATGGTTGAGAAAGCAGGGTGTGGGGGAAAATCTAATGCCAGAAGCTAGAAAGAAAACTCTAGAACTAAAGAATATTGAATTTGTAGTTCTGGCAGAAAGTAGCTTTTTCCTAGTTATTTGCTTTTGAATAAAAATAAATAAAAATAAAAACCCAATGAAACATAGGGCTGTGGATTACACAGGTTTGATTGCACTGATGAAATAATCCAAAAACTTTATTGACCTATAACCTGATTAGAATATGCCAGATGAGAATCAATATTGTACAGAAAGTTGTACAGAATTTTTTACATAGAAAACTTTACATCTGTACCATATACATTTTATCCATCTGAAAAAATTTCTACATCCACTGTTAATACGGAATGCTTGACAATCTTGTAATTTTTAACCATCAGAGCACAATTCACAGTATGAATACATTTCCAGTAAATCTAACCTCCCCAAACCATGCCAGAGTTATTTTAATATATTCAACATTAAGTTCTGTACACAGAATAAAATCTACATCAAGCCCCGCCACCCAAAAGAAAAAGTGACAGCAGCCTAGATTCATTTTGCAGTGATTCAAGTTCAGTCCATGAAGGATCATTCTATTTTAATGGCTCATCTTTAAAAGCCCTAAGAGAAGTATATTACAGGTAGTTACGTCAATAGGGATATTTTCTACCCTTTTTTTTGTTGTTGTTGATCATGACAAGTATCAGCCACAACAGCTTCTGGGCATGTTAACCCTTCAAAGTTATTAACCCCCCTGAAAAGGGCAAAACAAAAATCCCCACAAAATAAAAAGACAAAAAGTTAAACCCAATTTTTTAGTGCATTTGACAAAATAGTATAGGTATTTAGCAAATGAATAAGAAAATAAAGAAAACAGTGCAAGAACTATATCATGTTTAAGATTTTTATATTACAGACCTGCGTCGTCTCTGTACATTTTTCACAGAAGGATGATTACCAGTATCTCAGGTAGCCTGAGTGTGCAAAAATTTCAGAATAAGAATACCATAGTTGCTAAATATCTTTTACCATGAACAATAATTTCTTCTCCCCCACTCCCCAATTATAAACATTTTATCCTTCAAAATACAGCTCTCCTGAGTTGTACTTCCTACAGAAGTTCAAATCTTTACATCTATAGTTCTTTGGGTAAGTTTCACTTCCACACCTGCCAGAAGTATGTGGGGCTCTCCCTGCCACTGAGGCCAGGGAAGGACCTGTGAGCAGAGCTGACACTGGAAATGGGCTTTCTGCTCAACATGACACACAGGATCCATCACGGAGAGGGCTGGAGCGTTGCAAGACTGAGTTCTAGTTCTAAGCACTTTACCAGTCAGTAACCCCTAGACACTGAAATTCAGAGAAACCATTTTTCAGGTAGGAAATCTCGGCTCCAGGGTCCTTTTAAAGATCAGAGGGATGTAAACGCCAAGAGAAAAACGCTAAGTTCCCATCACTGCTTGTTTAGTCCAAGTTCCTGTTCAGGTGGTTGTGATATCTGAAAAACCACTCCAATTCGCAGAAAAAATCTTCTAAGAACAGCACGAAGTTCAGGAATCAAGTCAAATTGCATAATTTCACATAAGAGAGGGTAGTAGAATGATGCGTGAGCTTTGAACTGGGAGGAAAAAATGAATTTCTCCGTTAGTAGTGCTTGCAATCGAAACCACCACCTAAAACTCCCTTTTGAGACAAATCACTGGGCCGAGCATGGACCATGGACACAGGGTGTCTGCGTGAAGCAGTGAGATGCTGATTATGGGACTGAAAGACCAGAGGTTTTCAAGACTCACTTCATACAAATAGTCACTTAGTTTCTATCTTATTTTGATAAATCTGACAAACTTAGTATTTATCATTGTTTTTTTCCAGGTAATAAAAGGAGGCCCAGCAGTAACCACAGTTTTTTATATAAGCCATGTATCAGTTATTGAAACCATCTTTTCTTAAACAAAAATTCAATTTTCTGGGGAAATTCTACCTAACATTGCAATATAAACTATACAGTCTCCAGGCAAAGATTATACATCCCATATTCAGAGTTTGCAATTGATACACTTTGACTCTATCAAGCCAGAAGTGCTGGGCTGGATACGCAGTCTCACACTTACCCTGTTATCACTTATCTTCAGAACTTTCGTTAGAAACAAAAGCAGTAAGTTAGTCCAGGCCTCGCGATGACTCTCTGATGTCAGAGTAAGGAAGTAACTCAGGGCTTCGCTGCACACACTGCAACAGAAAAGGCTCACTCTTACATGTGCTCGTACACCTGCTGGCACACTCACCGAGCAAGAACTACTAAGACGTGGAGGGTAGCGAATATTGGACTATGAGGGACCTTTTTATATAGTTTGAAAAAGTCTTTAACTGGTTGCTGAGACTTTCTGTTCCCCAAGAACACACAAAAATACTATTCAGATGATGGTAGTCTTTCAGGATGTTTTAGCTTTAATGTGAATTGGAATGTTTAAAGACAATATTAAGTTGTCATTAAATGAAAATAGAATGCAAAAAATAGTAACATGAAAAAAAAACCACCTCCTCCAAATATTTTTTCAAATGAAGTGCAGTCAGGTTCTCCCTTTCACAAATGATTGGTTTGAAAAAAATAAGCTCTTTGGCACAAAAAAGCCTAAAAACTATAATATAGAGTTGTAAAAACTTCGAGAGAAAACTTTCTCCTTTGTCCTGTTCAGGAACAACAGGCAGGACGCATTCATATGTCACCAACTGTGCAAAAGCACACTCTCCTCTAAGACTGCATTTAATTATCACAGTCTCTGCCTTGGCCCCGCGTTATCTGCGTGGTCCCGCAGCTCCTGGCCATGGGGTTGGGTGAGGACTCGGCCCACGTGCGAATCTGTTGGCCCTGCCCTGCCCTGTACCATGTAGCCACACAGGCGAGAGGTAGAAACCCAGCCAAGAGTCTTACTTTAAAAGCCTTTGCTGGACCTCCTCCCAGGCACTAACCCGGCTCTCATCCATGTACATCCGGAAGAGAATGCGCAGCCCACAGGCCAGGCTGCTCGTCTCCTGCTTCAGAAGGTTGGGTTTGGATTTGCCTTTAAAGCCTGCAGAGAGGGGAAGTTTTGGGATGAATTTGGGAAAGTATCTTACGTAAAGGTACTGCAGCCTGGGTGGCAGCACATTCTGTGTGCAGCCATCACATCTGCTACCCGAGTCACAGCAGCGGCGCCCAGAGCCTTGCGCCCTCGAGGTGGCCCACGGACAGAAGTCACACTGAGAAGGTGGAGGCCAAGTCTGGCTGAAGGCCCGATGTGAAGGTCATTACTATGTTTAGAATTTCTTTCCCTCTCAAGCTGGGGGTAGGAGATATAAGACCACACTTGGCTGGGAAAGGGGAACTCTCCCAATGAAAATGCACCTGGAAGCCCCGTGCAGCACAGCAGGGCTCCCATGGAACAGAGCAGACCACAGGGACTGTTTTCAAGGTCATGGTACGAAGGGCCAAGTGCATGTGGAAACGGGCCTGGTGACCTTACAGGAGCCGTCCCAGTAGAATGATGGCAACAAGTTGGTCTGAAGGGAAAAAGCAAGGCCAGACCACTCTGTCCTGCAGTTGGGGGTAAAGAGGACGGACAGAGCCAGGGCTTCACCAGCAGACATTCTAGATGACATAGAAACTCAAATGTAAAGCAACCACTCTCCATCTGACATGCAGTAAACGTCACCTTCCTTTTCCTGCCAATTCGGCCGCCCCCACTCCCAGCAGCACTGTTTTACACCAAATAGGCACCGAGTAACTAGTTCTTAAATAAAAAATTGGCAATGTCAGTAAATTATAAAGCTTAGAGGGGGGATTCAGGAGTGGGAGGGGAGAGGTCAATGGGGGAAAGAGGAGACATATGTAATACTGTCAACAATAAAGGATTTAAAGAAAATAAAATTTCCAACATGTTCTAAAACAAATATACCTCCCACTTTTAACCATTCACTTTCATTCTGAAATATGGTCATGCCCAGGCCTATATGGAGAAGTCATTTGAATACATATGCCAGATTGTGTGTTTGGGACCCTCACGCCCACTGTTTCTCATAAAAGGGCAGATTTCAGTTGCTGACAGTGTCAATAGGAAGGCTCACACTGGGAAACAAGATGAAAGACGACTCGTCAACTCAATTAAATAAAAGTCGACTAAACAAGGGGAGACAAACCCAGGCAGTTACTTAATTTATTGAAGACCTGACAGGAAGACCTGGTTGTTAAGGTGGAAGTTAAACAGTGACATGCAAAGACCTGCAGGACAGTCAGTGAGTTCTGAGCAATGGGAGTGTGTGGTGCACATTCATTAACAGTGAGCATTGGATGTGGGACTGTGCAGCTTACCTGCTTTCCACAGAGCCGTCCTCTGTTCATTGTTGGAATTAAATGCTTTTGCAAATCGATGTGACTCTAATAAGCAGTCCAGTAGCTTAAAAAGCTGTTGTGATGTTAAAAAGCGGTACATTCCTTGGTCTTGCGTATCAACTCGAACATCAAAGTCCACGGCATCTCTCTTTGGGAGATAAACCACCATAGCGCACACACACAGAGTCACAGATTTTAGAAATCAGTGCTTCCCAAAGACGGTTTATAAGCAGCCACAGAACCTAATCTGTTCTATCTCAACAGAAGATGGGGAAAGGTCCATCTTTTGTTGCCTGATTTCCAGAATCTTCATTGCATGCACCCTAGTCCCCAAGCACGATCCTCCTGATTCCTGACTCCCAGAGCTCTGCTCATACTGACCCTACAGACACTCTCCCAGCCCCTCCCTCTTCCTCGCCCCTCAGGTCCTCACTTCTCTTCTTCACCAGGTGGGAGTCCATGTGATGATAATTATTCCCTTGCACAACCCCTCACTTCCTCCTCACAGTAACTGTTTGGAAAGCTGCCTTCCATGTCTGCTCCCACATGCTAATCCTAACTGGGGAGAAATGGACTGATTTATCTTTAAATTCAGTGGATGCTGGATTAAATCTGGATGCTGCCCAGCAATCCTCCTGGCACGTGCCTCGTCCACTTCCCTGGACACTAACTCCTGTTTTCCCTTCTCTCAAGCAGCTAAAGCTTTCTTCCCAAACTCACTTGGTGAATGGCTTTTCTTCCTATCTAAATGAGAAACCAGCGCTATCACATCTCCACGAACTCCCACCCGCCTTCCTACATTTACATATAACCCATTCACTTTGCTTGCATTCCTGTTATAATGCATGCGCTGTCTGCTTCTAACCAAGACAACCCCCCGGGGTCTTCGCACTAGGGTCCATCTCCAGGCAGTCACTCAAGAGACTGCTCCAGCGGCTGTCCCTCTCCCGGAGAGCTCTCATCAGAGGACATGCTGCAATGTTGCTCATCTTAAAGACACCCTTTTCTTGACCTCTTCATTCTCCTCCAGCTATTACCCCATTTCTCTGTACCCCTGGAGTTACCAATATTTGCTGTCTTCAACTGCTCTCTTCTTTTGTACCCAGTATAATATCACAATTAAACACAATGTCAAGGTCACTAAAGTCCACCAAATTGCTAGAGGGCAATTCTCAGACAGAAAATTACTTGACCTACTGAGAACTGGACAGAACTTAGGACTTCTAAGACATTTCTGCACTTGGCTTCCAGGTCTCCTCATGCCACCCTGGTTCTTGGTCTCCGGCTCTTTACCAACTCCCTCACCAGGAGCTAAACCATGGAGGCCTCCAGGGCTCAGCCCCTGACCACACTCTACCTGGGTCATGCCATCCAGTCCCATGGTTTAAAATGAGATCAATGTGATAAAGACCTACCCCCACCCCCAAATTACATCTCTAGCTCGACCTCAGCTCTGAATCCCAGACTGTCTCCGCTTCTCACCTGGGCTGCAGCTAAGTTCTCCGCATCCTCCTTCCTGCTTGTGGTGGAGAAGAACACAATGTTGTCGATAGTCTGGATGAGTTCCAGCTGCACAACACATTTAATCAACAGGGCAGCAAACAGTTTTTGTTCTGGATATTCTGTGAGGAAACCCACCCCAATGCACATGCAAACAAAAATTATTTCGAATCCTTTATCATTTCTACGATATTACAATGCTAAGGGAACATAATATGTATGAAGGTAACTTGTACATATCACAGTGAGAAGGATATACTTACTGCTTTTTCACATAAGCACTACTCAGCAAAAGTTTATCAATATTTAGAAAACCCAGAAAAAAATTCATTTTTTAAATAAAATGTAGGTTATTTTTTAACAAAATGTAACAATGAATTAAAAGCTAAAACTTAAACCTTTACTGTAAGCACAAGTTTGGCCTTTGAATATAGGTAATATACAAACCTACACCAAAAGAAAAACAACAGAAACTAGACTTGTAAGACAGGAAGTGAGAGATAGCCAAAAATTTTGACAAATGGAGCAATACTGTGGACTAACCATAGTGCATGTTTTATTTGGAACCATGTTAGGAATTGTAGCTCAAATGACCTTGTATCTTCAAAAGGATCCATAAGCAAAGAAATGTATAAAAAATTATGCTAAGTGCATTACTACAAAAGTAACCAAATCGTGAAGTAACAGAAGTGTTTTCCACAGTGCCCAGGTGAACTGTAACATGGCTACCTCCCTCTCCAGGGGTGGGCAAACTTTGACTCGAGGGCCACAATGGGTTCTTAAACTGGACCGGAGGGCCGGAACAAAAGCATGGATGGAGTGTTTGTGTGAACTAATATAAATTCAAAGTAAACATCATTACATAAATGAGTACGGTCTTTTTTTCTTTTTAGTTTTATTCATTTCAAATGGGACGGATCCGGCCCACAGGCCGTAGTTTGCCCACGGCTGCTAGCCTAACGAATTTGGTCAACAGGACAATGTTTCTAACACCTATTCATAAAAGAAATTTTCCATTTCACTGACCTCCTGGTTCATGGCAATGGTGGTTTCTGCCTGACAATTGCTGCCTGATATTTTGAAAGCAAAATAGTCACTTAAATATTTTTAGGGCATTTTATGAGAAAGGAAACAGAAAGTAATTCAGACATTTAGGTGGGCTTTCCCTTTGTCCTCCTCCTTGGATGGTAATATATACTAGTAAGAATTGCAAAGTAGGTTTATACTTGTTTGTATGGGAAAAAATATAAGAATAACTAATAATACAAGAATAGCCCGGCTGGTGTGCCTCAGTGGTTGAGTGTTGACCCAGGAACCAAGAGGTCACCAGTTCAATTTATGGTCAGGCCATATGCCCAGGCTGCAGGCTCGATCCCCAGTAGGGGGAGTGCAGGAGGCAGCCAATTGATGTTTCTCTCTCATCAATTTTTCTATCTCTCTATCCCTCTCCCTTCCTCTAAAATAAATAAAAATCTATTTTTAAAAATGGATCAGTGATCTATATATAAGAGTTTAAAAAGTATAAAACTCTTAGAAAAAAACATTGAGGAAAATCTTCATGACCTATTAATGGATTCTTAGCTATGACACTAAAAACATGAACAACAAAAGAAAAAAAGATAAACTAGACTTCATCATAATTAAAAACTGTTGTGTAACAAGACACTACCAAAGAAGTGAAAAAATGACCTAGAGAATGGGAGAAAATGCAAATCATATATCGGATATGGGGTAGTATTCAGAGCATGCAAACTCATACAATTCAAAAACTAAAAAAAACAGCCCAACTATAAATGAGCCAAGGACGTGAATAGATATTTCTCCAAAAAAGATATACAAATGGCCAATGAGCACATGAAAAGACATTACTCAACATTATTAATCATTAAGGAAATGCAAATAAAATCCACAATGAGCTACCACGTCACACCCACTAGGATGGCTATACTAAAAAAAGTAATAATGTTGGTGAAGATGAGGAAAATTGGAATTGCTGGTGGGAATGTAAAATGGTACAGCCACTATGGAACATATTTCAGTGGTTCCTCAAAAAGTTAAATACAGAATTATCATATAACCCAGCAATTCTACTTCTAGGTATATTCCCAAAAGAATTAAAAACAGTACTTGTAGACAGACAGTCAAAGCAGCCTTATTCATGATAACCAAAAGGTAGAATAAACTCAAATGCCCATCAACAGGTGAATGGATAACATGTGGCATATCCACAAAAATGACAATTACTCCATCATAAAAAGGAATTACTGATCCACTTTACAATGTGGCTGGACCTTGAAACATTATGCTAGATAAAAGCCAGACATAAAAGGTCACAGACTGTATGATTTCATTTACATGAAATGTGCAGAATAGCAAATCCACAGACACAGAAATCAGAATGGTGGTTGCCAGGGCTGAGGAATGGGAAAATAGGAAGGAAAAGCATAATGGTTATGGGGTTGTCTTTTGGGATAAAAAATGTTTTGGAACTAGATAAAGTAGCAACTGCACACCATCGTGAATTTACTAAATGCCACCGAATCGTTCACTTTCAATTGGTTACTTTCGTTATGTGAATTTCTTCTCAATTTTAAAAAGCGATTTTTAAAGCTGTCCTCTTGTCCTCTAAGGAGGAGGCAGTCTTTCCTCAGTGTTGTAATTTTCCTTCAGTAAACAAAATTTAACCTATTTAGTAAAAATAGAAGAACTAAGAAGCTGAGGAGAGGAGCGAAGATGACATGGGTGTGGAGCAGCAGAGCATAAGGAGGGCTTGCTCCTCAGAGCGGAGCTCCAGCTTTGGAAGCCCTCAGCCCTTACCACCTCCCTTCATAGATGAGTAGAGGAGGGCCCATCAGGCCCTACTTTTGCAGGAAAAAAATGGGGCTGACATGAAAGAAGGGGATGAGAGGGAAGACTCGTAGGCTCAACGCAAACACTAGCTGGAATGGCAGGTGTTAGCAGAGTTCCCGATCCTACTCAAGGGAGTATCCACCTACCTATCCTGGGAGGTTCAGGTTGGAGCCAACACAGTAATGACGTGACCATACAATCAGTTACAGTGTATTTGTGAGTAATAAAAGTACAAGCGAATTTCATCCCTTTCCTACATCAAACAAAACACACAATTTAGTTTTACTAAGAGTATAAATAACTCACTTGCTGAAGGTTTAATTTTGTTGGCTTCTTCATTCACAGTAGAGACAGAAGCCAATGTTGCTTGCTGTCTATTATCTGCAGATCTTGGTTGAATAGAATCATGGATATCTACAGATTTCTGTGATATTGTATCCTAACAAAAAAAAAATTCATTATAAGTACAATGAATAAAGCTTAAGAATAAAAACAGCATGGATGGAGCTGGAGAGCATTATGCTAAGTGAAGTCAGTCAGTCAGAGAAAGATAAGTATCACATGAGCTCACTCATTTGCGGATTATAATGAACAACATAAATTGAGCAAGAAAAACAGCTCCAGAGACAGAGAAGCATCAATCAGATGCTCAAACCTCAGACGGAAGGTAGGGGAGGGTGGGGGTAAGGGGTAGAGGTCAACCAAAGGACTTGTATGCATGCATATAGGACTAACCAATGGACACAGACACCAGGGCGGTGAGGGCATGAACGGGAGTTGGGGGAGGGGGCAATGGGGAGATCCCACGAACTGTCATGGAATCTACATAGACTCCTGCAAGATCTGTGCAGGCTGAGCTCAGGGAAGCTTTTTAAGGGTGAGTTTTAGGGAAGGATGTTCTGTCATGCAAGGAACCCACAACCAGAGGTCAGTGAGGAGGGGACCAAGTAGGAGTGCAGTGTCAAGAAGAGAAGCTGAATGTTCAAGTCCAACAGAGCTATACCGGATTTCACCCCAGAGTCACTAAGTGTAACGTTGAAAAAGCAATGAATCTTCCCAGACAGGTTTTCTGATTACTTCCCATATGGGTTGTTGTTATCTATGGATTTGACAATAAGTGCAAAGCACCGGTACAGTGTCAGACAATAGATGTAGTGACAGCAATACAATGCCCTCAGCGAGTCAGACTGTGGATTAAGAGGGCGGAGCCTTCTGTCCTAACAGTCCCAGCCAGAAGCAGCCTCACCTGGGTTTCTGAAAGGAGCACAGGGGCCTGCGTTCCCCAAAACAGAGCTAATCACAATAGTATTCTAACTTGGACTTATGTTATGACGCGCAGCGTGACCCTTTATTCGTTGCTCTGTAGTAGTGTGAAGCAGGGATAACATGTACCAAACCTGGTTCAAAAAGCTGCTGGGAGAACTGCAGTGATGTGCATACAAGCCAAGGAATGCCAAGGGTTGCCAGCACCCATGGAAGCTGAGAGAAGCAAAAAGGATTCTCCCGCAAAGGCTTTGAAGGGAGTTGGCTCTGTGGATGCCTGGATTTTGGACTTTTTGCCTCCAGGACTATGAGAGAATAAATTTTTGTTGTTTTAAGCCACTTAAGTGTGTGGTAATTTGTTCCATCAGTCCTAGGCAAATAAATACGGATGAAGGGTATATCAGAATTCTTTGTACCAGTTTTGCAACTTTTCTTTAGGGTCAAATTATATCAAAATTAAGTTTAAATGCAATATCCAATAATATCTTCAGCTTGGCATGGAAATCCATGCATTATCTGGTGCCTGCCTCTTACAACTCTTGAAGTCATTTTACTCTATGTCTCATCTTATAAAATATTTAAAACACTGCCTGCATGGTACTTACAGAGATAAATTTTAGCTAGTTGGGAAATTGACTATCGTGAAATTTAACCTGAGAATCTGGACAGTAGATTTATGCCTTCTTTTTAAAAGAACTGGGGTCATACAAAAGAATTTGGTCCATAGTAAAATACCACAAATAATTAAATAATTTAAAATATGCTTTATTTATTAGAACTTACCAACTGTTTTTCACTCACAGGAGAGGAAGGTAGGGGGACAGTTTCTCCAGAAGTGGGACGCCATGTCAAAAGCCTTTAAAATACCAAAATCACACCAGTCAATCACAGTGTAAAACATGTTGCATCCAACATATTTTGAAATGGGCACATAAAAGTCACATGAATATACCAAAAACAACATATTCCTTCTCCGACTACTGTTAAGAGCAATTTGCTGGAAAAAAAAATCTAGTGAGAAGTTAAAAATATATACTTCCAGAAAAACAATTAGCAGTTAATATAATTAAGAGTACTCGGGTTATCAGTTTTAGAAACTTTAAACTCAGTTTTTCTAAGTATTAAGGGTCATTAAGTATTGTTCAAAGTGAGATTTAAAAAAAGTTGAAGCTGTTTCAAAAAAATTCATAAACATTTTTAGATTCTATTTTTTTAATGTATAAAAATAAATAAAATAAAATTTGGCCCCAAAGAGGACACTAAGTTGATTAGCTGCTTGGGACAGAAAGATGATTAAGACCTAAGTTTTTCTTTGAGAAGCAAGAGTTCCTGGGAAATGGGGCAGACAGGCAGTTAAATACATCACTTCAGTTCAATATGGAGCGAACTCTGGTACAGATACATGCTAGTAAGAGATGCTTATTAGATGATCTTTAAGATCATGTATCTTATATCTAGAATGTATACATTCAATGAATTAAAGCAGAAGCAATTCTTTAAAAAAGCAATTCCCCCTGGCTGGTGTGCTCAGTGGTTGAGCATCGACCTGTAAACCAAGAGGTCACTGGTTCAATTCCTGATCAGGGCACATGTCTGGGTTGCAGGCTAGATCTCCCAAGAGGTCACTGGTTCAATTCCTGATCAGGGCGCATGTCTGGGTTGCAGGCTAGATCTGTGTGGGGCATGCATGAGGCAGCTGATCAGTGTTTCTCTCTCATCATGCTTCTATCTCTCTATCCTTCTCCCTTCCTCTCTCTCTTAAAAATAAAAACACCAATAAAAACATATTTTAAAAATTTTTTTAAAAAATTCAGCCCAACTGGTTGTTCTAAAGACTTCACAGGGACAACAGCTAAGCAATAATTCATACAATAGTGGCCACAGATAAACTATGACAAAAATCTATCATTTGTCAGTTATACTGATTCAACAAAATGTGCACCAAAAAGTAAGAACTGTCAAATAATTATAAATAGGCCAAGGGAATTACTGTGTGTCCTTTTGGTGTAATCCTACCCTGATCTTTCCTAAGGGTGTGTTCCTCTTGTTTGACTTTGTATTTCCTAGTGATGAGGATATTTACCAGGAGATCATACCAGTACAAACACATTTAATTCATGTCAAGAAAAAGTTTATGATGCCTAAAAACGTGGACTGATAGTTTTTGTGTATAGTTTTATGCCAGTGCATTCACATACATCTACTTAGTAAGATGTTTTAGGTAACATTTAAAACATCTAATTAAGTAGATGTAAGGTGAAGCTCTGGGCATGTCAAAGGGCCCTGAGGTACTGGGAAGTAAGTTCCAAGTCTGTCCTGCAAAACATCCAGGAGGCATCAGTCACTAGGCAGACTCTATCTTAGTTTCCCCGTTGATAAAAACTCCTTCACTACAATTCAATGCCAAATTTATCCCCTAGAAAATGATGAAAATTAACTGTAAAATGTGATAGGTGCAAATAAATCTTCCTAAGATTATTAAATCTAAAATAATTGAAATATATGTTATTGTTGTTTTAATTTAAGACCATGGCTTGGTTTAGTCTGGATAAATAAACCCTTATAAAAGTGGAATTACTTCATTATGACCCCAATTTTGGATGATCAGACTAAAGGTTTTGGTTTATAAAGAATTTAATTTATCTATTTGTTATGGATTATAGGAGTTTGATTTATAATAAATACAAATTCAAGGAACAATGAGATGTTTGAAAAAGGATTCTGTTATGAGAAATCACTAGTTACTATCAAACCTTTTATGTCCATCATTCAAAATATAAAGTTGTATAAAATCATCTTACGCATGTGGGATTGTAGTTTTGAAGATATCCAGTGTGCAGTTACAAGTTTTATCCCAGATTTCTAGGGTAAATTTTTCCCCATTCAGGATAACAACATTCTCTAAGCAGTTTGTACCAGATCGTGCTAACTGCTCATTGTCTAGAAAAGAAAAGAGCAAATCATTTGTATATTACCAGGGTCCAATTTAACAAACACTTTGTGTCACTATCTGGCACAGACATACCTTGCTGCACACACCAGTACAGCTGGGCAAAAATATCATCCAAAAGCACATCACTGAGCACTTCTAAATACTGGGTGAACACGTCACAGATGGCATAAAGGGCATGATTACAGGTTGTTGTCATCCATTCAGCTTTCTGGGGGGGGTGGGGCAGGAGAGAAAGTCAGACCATTCATCAACTACTAGAATTAAAAAAGAGATATGTTTGCACGTGTAAAATGTAAGCCTATCCCTGTTCCTTTCAGACTTTTACTTCCCTCCAGAACATTACATTCACCTCACTTAATATCTGCTATCTATTTTTCTCCATTAGCCCATAACCCCTACATAAAATAACTATTTTTTGTACTGTTTGCTTTGATTGTGAAGAACTATCACTGCATTTTCTTGCTATTAGCATTATGACTTTTCAAACAATATGCGTGAATAAACAGCAGGCATTGCTCCAGCATGTGACCGAACTTGCAAGAGAAATAAAGAGAAAGAAAAGGGTAAGAATTTATCCAAGTGGGATCAGTATATTTTTTAAATTAAACTGACTTTCATGAAGTTATTTAAAAACACTATAAAAGACAAATAGGGCCATATAAAGTAAGTGTTTTTCTCAAATGCATAATGGACTAACCTGAACTGACAGTTTTCAAACATAGTTTTGTGGTAGTGCATACATACGTCTATTTATTACCATTTGGTCTTTAGTAATTCAGAATAAGAAGTCACTCTGAATACTAAAGAAAGCTACTGGTGTTTATAGTTGTGACAATATTAAAATGAGGGAAAGAAACTGGAAGTTCAACAAAAAACATAAAAAACAACAAAAAATCCCACCAGTTCATTAACTCGGCTCTATCCCCAGAGAGTGTTCTTGTTTATAAAGGCCTACAATTCATTATAATGCCTTAAGGAAAATTTCTCTAGGAATTTTTTTCTGTTCAATATGCTTAATATGAAATATTAAAATGTATTAAGGAAAATATTAAGAGCCTCTTGACTTAACTATATTAAATGAACATTTCATGTCTTACCTCTGTCTGCTGTTCTGGCAATTTCATGTTGTCAAAGATTCTGAACACAATTCTAAATAAATCCTGCCACCAGTGTTTTTCGTAAGTGTGGCCGTAAGTTTTCATTATTTCAAACATTACTGTTAAACCCCTAAAGTGATATAATGTAATTAGTAAAACTATAACACCAAAAAGCACTGCACATCAGAATCTCCCTCCTATAACTGTTACAGTTCACAAAGCTACAGAAAACAAAGTTTAAAACTGGTTTTTACCTTGTTATACATCCAGCTTACTTTAGAATGCATTTAGGAAAACATTTCAAATTTTTCTTTATTTTACTTTTCTTCCATTCCCACCCCATCATTCAGCATTTAAAAATAGTAAATGAAATTACAGATGGGCACAGACCATCTTACTAGTGAATATTAATTTTGTGGCACTGTGACCAAGGAAGAAAATATATCAATTAACAGTCTAAAAACAAAAAATAGATTTTAGAAAATATTTTTCAAAGAGCTATAGGAGTTTTTAGAGAATGATATAATTGTTCATATAATATCTTCAAACAAAGAATTTGTAAAGCTAATCCACAAGATGTCCATTTGGGCAGGTCTGTTTTCTGCTGCATCCCAGGCACAGAGCATCTAGGAGGCACATGGTGAGTACTTGTTGAACAAATAAAGTGCTTAGTATCACTTTATTTGAATAAATGTTAAACCTAAAATTCAAAATTGTCTTCCTGATTATCTTCATCAAGACTAGAGGAGGGTGTATGGTGGGGGGTGAGGGTGGGGGGTAAAGGTTGATGGAGAGACTTGACTTGGGGTAGTGAACACACACAGAGTACAGATGATGTGTTGTAGAATTGTGCAATTGAAACCTGTATAATTTTGTTAATCAGTGTCACCCCAATAAATTCAATTTAAAAAACTGACTGGTGTGGTAAGTGGTTAGAGCATCATCCCAGGAACCTAAGGGTCACAGGGTTGATTCCCAGTCAAGGGCACGTACCTGTGTTGATGCAGGTTCCCTCCCTGGCCCCAGTTGGAGAGTGTGGGAGGCAACATCGATGTTTCTCTCTCTCTCCTTCCTCTCTCCCTCTCTTCCTTCCACTCTCTCTCTAAAAATCAATGGAAAAAATATCCTCAGATGAGGATTAACAAAAAACAAAAGGAAACAAAAAAACCATTCGTGTAGCTGTTAAAAAGCTTGATGTTTCTTCTACTTTCTTCTAGCAAAATGTAGGTATCCTTCGATTTAAAAAGGTTTGTATTTCCAATAAGTCTGATGGTAAGCCAGAACAAAATTTTCTTTGAAAGGCTCCATAAAGACGACACAGAGTCTAGCTTATTTGTTGCTATGCTTCCCTCAAGTCTAGTTCATGCCTGGTTCAAATTAAGCTCAAAGTAAGTATTTGTTAAATGAACGTGTAAAAATAACATTATGACACTTTGCCTTACAGCAAGCTCGTAAGTTTATCTGATTCATAAGATACCTACTGTGTAATGAGCGGAAGTAAAGAAGCTAGTCCACATTTCCCTCCACAATGGAAAAGGGCTCCCTCTTCCTCCATCCCCTGAGCTCCAAATCCATTTCCTCTCTTGCTAAGTAACTGGATGCTAACTCCCATGTCTGGGGAGAAGGGAATGTGGGGAACCTGTTTTTTTCTAGGCCCCCAAAGCAAACACAAATCTACAGAAGTTTCCAAGAATTTTTACTGTCGAAGAGGTCTTTTTAAAAACAATACTTCAGTTGCTAACGTAGGGAAAAAGAATATTTGGGGCTCTAGGTTAATTATTTAAATAAATCTACAAAATTTTGAGGGAGTCAAATGAGAATGCAGGCGAAAGTATTTTATGATTAGTGTGTTATAAATAACAGCGTTACATTTTTACATATAATCTAAATAACAGCTCTACAGATCCTAGGGTGAGTTAAGAAAATGAAAGCCATCATGGAAGTGTTTACTCATATTTTTATCTCTTTTACTAACTAGAACACATACTTTCTCTTCCCTTTACTAACCAGAACCCATCTGTAATTGGAATATAAATGTGGTGAGAAGTAAATCAGTGTGGTCCCAGACAAGAACAGGCTAAGAGGCTAAGAAAGCAGGCAGGTCCCTTGTCAAGATAAAATGTTATACACTGTTCTTGTGATTACTACACTCGGAGAAACTCCCAAGGTTGAGTCAAAGTTTGAGTTCTACTTTGGATAACTTACCTAGGTCATAATTTTATTTTGTTATTACAAATACTATAAAAGTGAAGTTTCTTAGGAAATAAATCAAACTTAACCTTGGAGGGGGTGGCAATGGGGTGATTCTGGCATAAGGGGAGGAAATATTCATTCTTTCATTACATTTCTATCTTTGATTTATTATAAGTCTGAACATGTTTCTGGTTTTAAAATGTTCAGGGAACTGTCCAAATGACGAATGATTCTCCTAAAAAGATGGCATAATTCAATGAGGGATTTAAACATGAAACTGAACTCATGATACACTCAAGCACTTTTGACAGAGATACTGTAATACAAGTTGGCCATTTCAATTTCAAAGTCACAAATACAGAGTGAGAAAAATTATCTTATGAGACTGATCTGAGCTGTAACATGAGAAGTGTATACTGAGCACTTGTCTGGTTACATCATATCCAAAATAATTTCTTTACAAATTTATTATATGTTCATATAGATCTTTTATTGAGAATATACTTTGGAAAGAGTTCAATTCTTTTTTAATAGACCTATGTTATTCAAAACTATATTACTGACCAGTCTTCAGAGAAAAACTTCTTTACCTAAAATGCATCAAGGATGCGCATTTGAGAATTCTTCCATCATTCTTTAGGAAATAAAATAAATTTTCCACTAACTTCTATTTTTAATTGGAAACAAATGTATGAAAAAAAACAGAATGTGTAAAGTATTATATTAACATAGAAGCTAAAACACAAAGTAGATTATATTTAAATTTAGTAGGCTCTATTTAAATTTTAAGGAAAAGCAATATATTTCCATTTTTTAACACTGCTATAGCTTAACATATTTTTAAATCTGCCTATCTAATAATTGTTATCTACATATATAAAAGTCTAATATGCAAAGTGTCTCCTCAGGAGTTTGACTGACAGGGAGATGGCTCGCTCGCTCTCTATGACATGCGCTGACCACCAGGGGACCTCGACAAGCAGTTGGAAGGCCCCCACCGATCCTGATCGCAGGCCAAGCCTAGAGACCCTACCCGTGCACGAATTTCGTGCACCAGGCCTCTAGTATTTGATAAAGATACAATAATACATAGATATTTAGTCAGGGCAGGGTACTCCAAGCCGAGGGACCCTACCCGTGCACGAATTTCGTGCACCAGGCCTCTAGTATTTGATAAAACACATGATTTATGGCCTTTCACTACTAAACTTTGTTCACATAAGGAAAGTTAATTTAAGTTAAAATAAGCCTTACAAAATGTTAATTACAAATACTGATTGTTACCTGGTTCTTACATCTAATTTGCATCTATTGATGATACAGGATAACTCAAAGAGGATGGGGAACCATCCTCTCACCCACACCCTGTCTTCAGGTGCCACATTCATATCGTCGCTTGTGTATTCCTTAAAAGCCTTCAAGAAGAAAGGTAGGGTTACTAAAGGCAAAACATAATGCCTACATTAAGCACATTTCTCTAAAACTTTAAAAAATGCTTTACAAATCAAAGTGAACAATTTCATAAAACACAATAATTTATAAAAATGATGGCAATTATAACTTCCTATAAAGAGCACTGGACCAGAACCCAAAAGTTGGTTTCAGCTTCAATGCTGACACCAGATTCCTGCATTATTAACCAGGTTAAATCAGGTTTTCATTTTTACCATTTGAATGGTTATGACACCATGTAGCCACACTAACCACACTGGGGAAATGTGAGGTCAAATGAGTCAATGCATGTTTAGGTAAAAAGTCTAAGCACCCCATGGGTCCATGTCAGTATGCAGTAAAAATCTTATTACTAAACCTATGATGTATCACTTCTCCTTATGGTGGTTATAAAGAGAGACTCAAATATGTGAGTGAAAGTTGGCAGGCAGGTTGCCAATTCAACCTTTTACCCCAGTGCTGAAGCCCACCGTCAACTTCAGTACTGCAGACGAAACACAACAGGCAAAAAGCAGCACAGGAATGGTTAAGAACACAGGCTTGGGTTCGAACTCCGTCTCCTTAACTAGCCCTGCAATCACAGACACATTCTTTAACTTCTCTGTGCCGCAGATTTCCTATCTGCATGGGACTGTAATTGTTATGAAGACGAAACAAGTGAATACGGGTGGAACACTCTGATACTTTCAATTAGTGTTAGCTACCAAGGACTGCCCATTATGGCTCAGAATCAAGCTCAGATAATTTTTGGGTTTACTGAAATATAAAAGCTTCATATCCTCTTAATTTCCAAGTAAATGTAGATCTCAGACTGGGAATAAATAGTCAGTAAAATTTTGTTTACAAAATGACACTGCACCTGCGGTCTGTCAGACACGTATTTTGCACAATGGCGAATGAGTCGGATTGCTTCCATACTTGTGTCTGGGAAAGCTGCATTGCATGCAAACTCAGACAAACACTTCACTGCATCCTGGAAGGAATCAATGGTCGCTGGAAAGTGTTTTTCAAACACAAGAGCTAAAAAGAGGGAAAAATGTATCAAAGTAATTATAATTGTCAATTATTCTGAATTGCATCAAAAAATACATCAACCTGGTGCACAGCAGGTACTATATCAACAGTTGTTGAGTGAGTACACAAAATTATGTTTAATTTCTCTTTATCTCAGTTTCTTAATTTATAAAATGAGAATTACAATATCCACAGGATAGTTGTAAGCACTAAAATAAAATAATGTAAGTAAAAATGCTTAATTCAAATAAGCACTCGAATAACTACGATAATGTCATTACTCTTGATGTTGATGATGCTGGTCATCATTATAATCTTCCAGATAGGTATAACTTATATTTTTAATATTTTATTCTCCCTCAAAGTCAAAGTGTAGTGGGTAAAAACAAAGACTTTGTCTTAAGGCTCCCTAGCTTTGAATATCAGCTCTATCACTAGTTCTGTGTCCTTAGGAAAATTACTTAACCTCACTGGGCCCGAGTTTTCCAATCTATGTATTAAAGAGGGGTGACATTAAAGATACTTATCTCATACTTGTGAAGACTGAAGAAAATACATGCAAAGTACTTACAGGGCTTGTAATATAGTAAATGTCCAATAAACGTTAACTATAATAATACATTCATCATTTACTCTGCTAGTAGGCAAAACTTGAAAACCATAATAGACCTACAACCTTATATACTTGAATTATCTTCTGAACAGATCATAGTTTCATTCATTCATTCCTTTTTTTTTTCTTTTAACTTAAACACAGTTAAAAGAAATACTCACTGACAATGTGCCCTGTTGTTTGGAATGCAAGTTCCACTATGCTTTCATCTTGATCGGATGCAGCTAGATGAAATACAGAGAAAATGTTCTTCCATCCAGACCGAATGTTAGCAGCTTGAGAATTCACCATCTGTGCTATACATCGCACAACCATATCTCGAATGGTTGGAGACCTAAAATATTAATTTAATTTCTTGAATAAACATATAGATAAAACATCAGATTTCTTTCCCGTTTTCTGTTTTTCTCCCTGCACTGAAAAATAATAAAGTATTTTTTGATATTAAGCAATTCAACAAATATAATACCTGTTCCGTTTCATTATATGTTCAAAAGGTCTTAAGAAATCCTTCTGGAATCTGAAATTAGCAAGCTCCCCTTTCTCTAAGAACTTCATTGACAATTGTCTCAAGGAGTCTACTGCAAAAATAGCTACGTCTTCATTAGGATTACAGCCAACCTGCAATGGCAACAGAAATACAGGGTGCTAATGTCAGGGGTGAAAATATAATTTTTTATTTTTGTTTTAAAAATAGTGTATCATTAATAGTGTATATAAGTAAATCCTAAGATTCTTTATAAAAGCACTAATTGCTAATATTTCTCAATAAGAAAAACATTATTTTAACGAAATCCTTAAAACCTAGAGCTAAAGAAAAAATAGGACTCAAAGGGTTTTCTAAATTTAATCTTAAAAACATTGCTTGGAAAGAAAAATTCTCGATTATGATAAGGAAATTTTACACAATGAAAAATAACATAAATGTAAGCAAATCCTATAATTATTTAAATACCTTATTAAAATGATCTCCAATAACTTCCCAAATTCGAGACCATTGCAATCTTATTCTTCCCATGTTGTAATATGATATTTCTACTATTTTTTGTAGACTAAACATTCTTGGATGTGTAGTGGAAAGTAATTCATCCATAGACACAGCACAGAGCCAACGGACAAAATCCACTATAATATAAATAGATTTACAATTTTTTAGCTTAATGTTCAAGTGTTTTAGCCAAACAACCAGTTTATAAGTGAAATAAATGTACATACTTACCAATAGCATTTCCATCTAGCCTTGTAGACCCTGTAAATATTCTAAAGGAACAGAACAACCCCATGATTAAAAAATGGATAGCCTGAAAAAAACATGTATAGTCTCACATCTATTACATCAATTCAAATGTGGCTACTTTTATCTGTTTTAAAGGAACTAAAGAAATCAGGTAGTCAACTGAAAATTTTTATTATCCTATACTTTAGAAACTATAATTTGATGTTCCTCCCTCTTACCTTTTCATTCAGTAATATATTAAAGAATATATGGTTCTAATTTTATTAGTAAATTTACAAAAACTAGTTATCTTATAAGACTCAGAATAAGAAAATCATTAATTCCTAAAACTATTAATTGGTACACTATAAAACAGAAAATTTTTCAATCTTTTCCTGATTATGTATTAACATTAACAAAGTTTTGAAATTAAAAATTCTACTTAATTTCTACAAGTAATGTATGTTTGATTAGAAAATTCATTTATGTTACGTTACAAGCGATTTAACAGAACCTTACAAATAGTCTCCATCAGTTTAACCAAGAAGTAGCTGACTGAGGGCAGCTACTTCTTATGCCTTTTCTTAGGGCATTCAAATATTTAGTGTTAAGCTATGCTGTCCAGCTTTGCCCAAACTTCTTCACTGAGTTCTGTTTCTGTATTTCAAACTTTCATAAAAGACTTCAGCATAAACGTATTAGTCCTCTTTTTTAATGTCTGCATTTTTATCTATGCACTCAATGGGTTTATAACCAAGGGTTTGAATGTGACTTATTGAATGAAATGATATTCCTCAATTTAAAATCAACACCATAAGATCTATATGGTAAAGAAGAAAACTTAAAGGCAGGAGCAGGTCAAATATTAAACTTAGAAATAAAAGTAATCATAACAGTAACAGCTACCAATAATCACAAGGTGGGTATTATCCTGACTGCTGAATATATCCATTCAAAATAATAACCAATATCCTGGGAAACAGGTACCATTACACCCTCAATTTTATGGAAATTTCCTAAAAGTATCAAAACTAGTAAGTGCTAGAGCCAGGATTCAAACCAGGACAGCCTGACTCCAGAGGCCACCTTCTTTTTTTTTTAAATATATTTTATTGATTTTTTACAGAGAGGAAGAGAGAGGGATAGAGAGTTAGAAACATCAATGAGAGAGAAACATCGATCAGCTGCCTCCTGCACACCTCCTGCTGGGGATGTGCCTGCAACCAAAGTACATGCCCTTGACCGGAATCAAACCTGGGACCCTTGAGTCCTCAGGCCGACGCTCTGTCCACTGAGCCAAACCGGTCAGGGCCAGAGGCCACCTTCTTAACCACGGAGCTACATTGCCCACACTTACTTGAGCAAAACGTAATTTAAACATTTTAAATATATTCTAGTTTTTTCCTGCATCCATAATATAAATGTTCTGAGTATATTATTTTTAAGATTAAAACAATACCATATTGTTTTAATCTTAGCGCCCTTGAATGCCTTTGTGTTCTGGCAATGAGTAACAAAAACAAGACTGGAAAAACTACTTAGAAACTAACAGCACGATAACTCAGAATCTGACCCCCTGCTAAAGGAATACCTTGAGATTTCCCACACTGCTCTTCTCAAGAGAACAAAACAACAATTAAAGATCTGGCTAAAAACACAATCTGGGAGAAAATATAAGAGTAATAGGGCCCCATTGAATTCAGTGATTTGACTGGATCCAGATATTAACATATACAAAGCTTTCACATGAACAAACAATGAAAATTGTTAGACTATGCATTATATGTGTCATTAGCCAATTTATCAAACTACAGGTATCCCCAAGGAGCAATGTAAAAAAACAAAACAAAAAAAAACCCACACCAAAACCAGAGTCCAAACTAAACAGTATAGGAGAAACAAATGAAACAACAACAAAAAATATTTAACGGAGAAAGAGGCAAGTGGCAAAAGTTGAAGGGGTAAAGAATAGAAACAGAAATGGAGATTATACATAACAAAAGGGGATATATGCAACTCTGAATGCAGTAAAATAATGGAGAACAAAGGCCACAGAGGGGTTGCAGCAGCAATTAGATGGGTCCTGTAGACCCAGGTGATGATGGCAGTGGAAGCATGCATTCTGGGAAAGCGCATTCAGATGCCTACTCACTTTGGTAGCCTCTGAGAGGTGCCCTATTTCTAGTAATACTTCATAAACATAGTGATAGATAGAAGCACAGTGGTCTGTGGAGGCATTTAAAATTAAGCCTTAATATACTAAGGCAGGAGAAAAAAGCTATTTCACAAAATCAGCCTATGAAATAGATTCTAAAATCCCTGTAGGAAAAGCAAAGGACAGTAGTATGAGGATCTTGTGTGCTAATATTAAAAGACATGTCCGGAGGTGTGAGTAGAAAAATAAATTTGATATATTACTGATTCATCCATATCATGATAGTAATACAGCAATGCCAAAAAAAAAAAAAAGATTGACCAAACTTGCAGATTCAAGATTTAAAAAACATTAAGCTGTATGTAACACACAGGCTAAGTAAATTACTATATATGTAAAAAGTTTTCACAGTGAAATATCTGAGGTAATATTTCTTTTATCTACCTAAAAGATATTTTTGAGCAAATGAAGTGGGGGATGAGCTGTATGTATTTTCTGAATAGTGACAATGTTTCAAAGTATGAGATGAGCCAGTTTTACAAAGCTAGATCTGATGTGCTTCAAAAACCATAAAAACAAAAACCATGGTATTAATTAACTGTTTTTTTTAACTTTTAGAGATAAACCATTCTGGGACAAAAATCCATCCCTGCATAGTTTAGGATACCTATAAAATTGGTCTAGTTTAGCAATGGCTAGCAAATTCTACCCTAGCAAATCCTAGAGGATCAGGTACTCCAGATTAAAGTGCACAATATTCTCCTAAATTCTAATGGATTCCTAAGACTACAAAAGTAGAGATAATTAGGATATATTATCATTAAAAACTGGAAGGTTTTTAACAGAATCAGCATTTTTTCTGTTAAGAAACAGAAGCTATACATAATTAAGCAAAGAAGAATTATTTTTATTTTCATTTTTAGTTCCTATACTTGTCAGAAGAGATTTTTCAGAACAATAGGCCTAAGAGTAGGAAAATGACTGTTTTTGCTGGATAAGTACAGTTTTCAAGGATGATACCTGATAATATTTCACCACTGTCTTGAATTCCAGGGCAATCTCAGTTAGCTTATAGACTAGAGTCCAAATATTAAATATGAATATAACCTCAGATATCTGAGAAGAAATTCAGAAGAAATGTAATGAAAAAATGAAATGCACCACACAAGAATAATATAATCTTATATCAAAGATGTAGCTTTTGTTTTCATTATAAGCTAAAATTTAAATACTGAGTTTTTATATAAACTTGGACATTAATTTTATGTTTGCAGAAGACTTTGGTGATGATGAGTTTCAGAGGACAAAGTACTAATAGTACTTATGCTAGAATACTTGTGAAACAGTATAAATTATTAAAACAGACAAGCATATTATCTGTTCAAATGAGTGACATGTCTACCTATAACAAACAATGGATAGTTGAATAAATCAGAACGAGGTATGCTCATATAAAGTATATTATGGAAACAGAAATAGTAGGTAAAATGTTGACTCTTGCCTGAAGAGATTCCCATAATGACAGTGAAGGTGATTTTCTGGAAAGCAAGAAAACCACTTGGAGAAAAGCTACCCTGATAGCAGAAAGGCAGACATTACACTGCTCTGAAGTTGCACATGCAGGTAGAGAGGTTTAGAGTGCACACTCAAGATATGCTGCTTGACTGTACGTCTTGGCTCCATTTCCCCAAACGCTCTATGAATGAAACAGTCATCAAAATAATGAAGACCCAGTTAGCCTGGTTGTGGAATGAACAAGTTATTTAATTTCCCCACATCTCAGTTTCCTTATCTGTAAATTGAGGACAGTAATACTCATCTAATGAGGCTACTTAAAGGATTAAACTAATAATACAGGTAAAGCACTTTGAAATATACCAACCATGTGGTAAACCTTCTAAGTATATAGTGGGTATATATCAGTGGTTCTCAACCTTCCTATTGCTGCGACCCTTTAATGCAGTTCCTCATGTTGTGGTGATCTCCAATTTCATTGTTACAAATTGAACATAATTAAAACACAGTGATTAATCACAAAAACAATATGTAATTATATATGTGTTTTCCGATGGTCTTAGGTGACCCCAGTGAAAGGGTCGTTCGACCCACAGGTTGAGAACCGCCGGTATAGATGAGACACAATCTTTCTTCATCCTTCCCAAGAAAAATGCAAATAACCTCCTTCCCCTAACAAAAAAGATTGCAAGTGGACATTAAGAATTATTTTCAAGGATAAAAGTTCCAGGGAGTACTTCCAGGGTCAGTAGCCTGGAACAATCTAGTTCTGTCTGTACTTAGAGCAAAAAGTTTTATCTGATGCAAAGTAAAATAATGGATCAGCATGAGTCTCAAAGTACCAAAACAAACAAAAAAACAAACAGTACATATTACATTTATACTTTTGAAAGTTTCCATAAAAAGCGGTAAAGAAAAAAAGATTTAAATGTCAGATTTGTAAAATGTTAAGTTTCAATTAGGGGGGCATTCATCTGGTAAAAACTAATATTAAAAAACACACACCACACCACTAAATGTTCTATATACTAGAAATTTTAAAAATCTGAAACTAAATATTACCATAGTAAAATAAACCAGAGTATAGTTTTTCTTTTAGAAAACAAACTAAAAATGAGGAATACCTGGTAATGTCTATAATATACCAATTTCCAAGTTCTTTCCAAAGAAGCTTATAATGAGAATTGCCAGCAAATCCCTTCATTTTACCCCTAATGCAGTCTTCTATCAGAAAGAGAAAGTACACTCTGTTTCCCAATAGGAATAATAAGGGGAATGTTTTCTATACAGGAAATCAAACATTTGTGTTCTTTTTCATCAAGGTTACTATTTGCCTAATGCCCACTAATATCTACTAAAACTTACATTATCATACTGTTTCTTTCCTATATTCTATAACCTAAAATGCAAAAGTATGTGCTTCATCATTTAAATCACATATTACAAGACAGTCTTACATTACTTAACGAAAGTTTTTTTGGCAATAAAATTTTGTTTACTACTGTGCACAAAATATCTAAATGCTACAGAATTAAACCAGTTTCATTGAAAAGGGAATAAAGTGAATACCTTACCTATCTACAGCAACAACAACACTTTGAGAACTGGTTTCTCCAATGGATTCCTGAATACTTGCTATCTGCTTCCAGTCCACATTTCCTCCAACTACCACACATAAAAGAGAGTTATTTCAGTTTGAAAGTAAGTCTGAATGCTGGAAGAACACACTTAGAGTTCTAAAATATATTTCTGAAATCAGTTATTTTCCTAATGAAAGAAAGAATGCTTTGGGTGAACAATTCGTTTGGCATCAGTGACCTTTATCAAGGCAAAATGTGCTTAATGAGCTATACTAATTGGTACACAGACATGGTTATAAAGATGTAAATTGTGTTTGCAAAAATTACACAAATTAGGGCCACTGAGAATTTAGAGCATAAATTAATGACATTAGGCATAATTACTCTTAGTGTTTAAGAAAGACAGTACTAGTTCAGGTTCCAATGATCCCTCTAAGGATGACGCCCAACTTCACATAATCAGATCTCCCCTGTCATTTAATCTCCAGTCCCTGTTTATAAATGCTTATTGAAAATTCTAACTATATGTTCTAACATCCTCTTATTCAAAAGAAGAATTTATTTTCCCCCCAAAACTGGTTCTATATGTCAGACAGCAGAACAACAACTTCCCCAAGTTTTCAAACTCTTAAACTTACAATCATCTTCAAGATCTCTCCACTGGTCACTAAATCTTTCTTTTGACCTGTTTTCATATCATTCATTAATTTTCATTCCTACTCAGTTGAGATGCTTATAATTTCAGGCCCAGATAATTGAAAGTTTCCTGAATGCTTTCCTTGCTGCTAATTTCTCCCCTCTTAAATCTCTCCTTCATTCTCTTGCCAGATTAACTTTCCTAAATTACCAGCTTCATTTTGCTTACTATTACTTTCAGGATAAAGTATAAACTTTTCAACACAGCATTTAAGGCAGTTCCCTTCAACACTCTAAACAATATAGCGTCTCTCTTCAGGGCGTTCCCTCAACTATCTAAAACCCTATCTACCTAGACCCAGTTTGAGTTCCCAATGAAGGATTCCTCTCCACTGCTCTCATCTTCCTCTGAACTAAGCATTTACTTATAGAAGTACTACTCAAGTCAGAATTTCTTCCATATAGTTTCATATAAATTACTTTTGGTTGTGTTAATATTGCCTTCTCAGCCAGATAAAAAGATCCCTAAGGTTAGGAACCAAGACATAAACATTTTTTTTGTATTCCTCTACACTGCACTCCATATCAAGTGCAAAGCAGATGCTCAATAAATACTATTGACTTGACTGACCAGATACTCAATAAATGCTTTAAGAATGGAAAAGTAATAAATGACATTATTTAAACTAGCTGGACTCAATTCTATTCTAGCAACCGAACAAAGTAAAAAAGATGTCCTGTCCTCAGAGTTAACAATTTACAAGGAGAGACACAACTTACAACCAACTTTAATACAATGTAATGATTACTTCATGACTGAAACAAACTAATTATATATAATACAAGTTTTGCTAAATATATTTAATTTTGATAGGATAAAGGAGAATGGGGATGTTAACTCATGGGAAGGTTTCAAATATGAAATATTAATTTAAGTTGGCCCAGAAGGATGATCATGTGGGAAAGGAGACAAGAGGAAAAGCAATTCAGGTAGAAGGAGCAGCATATATAATGTACTGGAAGTTTGCAAGTGGATCAATCAGATAAATATATACCCAGCCCTATCAACTTGGCTAAAATGAAATACTTAGTACATTAATAAATTGTGCATAATTTATATTGGTGCATAACTTACTTGGTGCAAAAATTAATACTTGGTATATAAACTAATACTTGGTGCATTATTAAATGCTGTTAATAAAGGATATTAATTTATTTAAACACACACACACACACACACACACACACACACACACATTTAGAGACCTTAAGACCCTTAATTTTACTAGATCAAAGTGCCTGCATTCTAGTTTCTCTATGCTGAAGAAAGCATCTGTTGTCTGGATAGGTGACAGGGCACAGATGTACAGGGGTGAACATCTGCTACATGGGATTAACCAATGAGATGGCCTGAAAGGCGAGCTCTGCCTAACAGGCCAAGTCAAAAGACTGGCTCTCTCTTGGATGTAGACTCAAAAATGAGAGACCTGATCTATCAGGAGTGAGTGGAAAATGGGGCAGGCTAAAAGAGGTACATAATATAAGAGAAAGCCTAGATAAAGCATGAAAGAGGTAGAAGAGTATGGTTGGTTACTTGAATGGCTTGGAAGTCTGACATTTTTATTTCACTTCCAGATCCCAAAAAGTGTGTATTTTTCTGTAAATGCACTTCTCCTGAAAAAATAAGCAGACCATCTCATATCCTTGCAACCTAAATGGCACAATGGCACAGTGATCAAATTAATTTTAATTCACTTCCAAATATACTAATAGTAAATGTTACCAGCATGCATTATTTATTGTTTGATTAAACTTTTAGGAGATAAAAAACTTCACTGCTATTTTATTTTTCGTGTAACCTACTTCTGTTGCTTGGCAAAACTGAGCCATGGCAATTTGTACCTGTCATTATTTTGGCCTTCCCACACTCCTTAGTTCTTTAAAAAAAAAAAAAAGCCTTTCAAAAGCTATTGAATCAATCATTGCACATTTATTTCACTTGCCTGTAAACATTTTTCATCTGTATCTTGTGCTATCTTCTGGAGTAATTATAGTTCTAATGTTCCAAGTCAGACTTCCAGATTATATAAGTCACCATGCAGGTGCTCAGGCAGTTCTAAATCCTGCTGCTGGGTCATCAAGTTATTAGGTCTACAACTGCATCACCCAGAACCACAGCATCTAAGATACAACTGAGGTACAGACTGCACTGCTGGCTGACACAGTTGGATAACCACTGGGAACTAACTGTCCCAGTCCAACTTGAAGCCACATATGGCCG